CTTTTTTTTTCCCCCCCCCCCCCAAGAAAGTTAATCGATTTTTTGTGGCCCCCCCCCCTAGAAAGTTTTCTCCAGGCGCCCATGCTTGACACCTTTTTTTGACTTTCCAAGTCTTACCTTGTGAACGTTGTAGTTAAAATGGTGCTCACAAATTGGGCTGTGTTTTCATCACTCATATTCTATAGGCTGCATGTGGTCAATTTTGATACGACTTTCTTAAGAGTTTAGCGAAAGAGCTTTGTAAGATTTCGTTCATTAATTAAGTAATATTGTAGATTCGTGAACAGAAAGCAAAAACTAGCAGTACTGAAACTCTCGCAGTTTGTCAATAGTGCAAATGTCCATCTGCAAAGGGACGTAATGATGATGCTCAGTTTAAAGGAAGTTCCTTGTGGACTTTATGGGGGGCGAACGCAAAAGACTTCTCCTTCCATTGGTTGGGTTTACCTAGACAGTCTTTATGAATGATTGGGTTTACCTTGACAGTGTTTATGAATGATTGGGTTTACCTTGACAGTCTTTATGAATGATTGGGTTTACCTTGAAAGTCTTTATGAATGATTGGGTTTACCTTGACAGTCTTTATGAATTATTGGGTTTACCTTGACAGTCTTTATGAATGATTGGGTTTACCTAGACAGTCTTTATGAATGATTGGGTTTACCTTGACAGTCTTTATGAATGATTGGGTTTACCTTGACAGTCTTTATGAATGATTAGGTTTACCTTGACAGTCTTTATGAATGATTGGGTTTACCTTGACAGCATGAGCGCCCGCAGGGGGGGGCAAGGGGGGGGGCTCTCCATGATGTACAAGATAAATAATGGGCTGGTCCACTGTTCCAGTATTAAACAGAAACTCGTCCCTCTCCCCCATAGACAGCGACGAGGCCATGACAGGCAGTTCCTGCTCATACCAGCAAGAAGCCAGCACAGTAACTGCCCAATGCTGCCAAAGTCAATCAGGGTCTAGAACAAAAGCTTTCAAAAGGAATAGTTGAGGCGACAACACTTGACACATTTGCGTCCACTGCCTCAAGCCTTCCAACCCCCAGTGCATGATACCCTCACAAAGCAGCCCTTGCAACCAGTGAAATGTCCTCGTCAACACCAGGCACAGAAACAATGCAAATTCCATCTACATGCATAGGGGCCAGAATGATCAATAAATTGAACGTGGGCCCTTAATAAATAAAAGAAGAATGATTGGGTTTACCCGGACAGTCTTTATGAATGATTGGGTTTACCTTGACAATCTTGATTGATTGAGTTTACCTGGATCGTCCTAAATAGTTTTACTTGGACTTGTATGACACCCCCATCCCCCTTTTTCAGATACTCCTTAAATCTACCCCCCGTTCAGATACTCCTCTAAATCTTCTCCCCCCTCTTCAGATAGCCCTCAAATCTTCTTCCCCCTTCAGAAACCCCTCAAATCTCTCCCCTCCCCCCAAATCAGATACTCCTCAAATCTCCCCTCTTCAGATACTCCTCAAATCTTCTTCTCCCCCTCCTTCAGATAATCCTCAAATCTTCTTCGCCCCTCCCACATCCTCACAGATATACCACAAATCTTATTTTTTCCCCACCAGAAATTTCCTAGGTAACGCGATTATAAAGAAAATTGTAAGTCAAACATATATATGTTGACATACGCCTTGCCATGGTGAGTAAAGCGTTCAATTATAGTTCATTTGTGTTCATCGAGTCTTACACGTATTGGGTTCACCAGCTACATCGCCATTGAATCAACGTAGGCTGTAGACAGTGTCTGTCTGTCATAGGCTGTAGACAGCGTCTGTCTGTCATAGGCTGTAGACAGCGTCTGTCTGTCATAGGCTGTAGACAGCTTCTGTCTGTCATAGGCTGTAGACAGCGTCTGTCTGTCATAGGCTGTAGACAGCATCTGTCTGTCATAGGCTGTAGACACCGTCTATCTGTCATAGCACGTCCGATTTTTACTAAATTGTATGACCACTGCACATATTTGTGTTGGTTATAGGAAATTCTCTTGCCCATTTCTTGCATGGAGTTAGTGTCTGTGTACCACCGGATTGTACAATTGTAGGTAGAATCTTCCTACAGGTGAACACAACACGACAAGTCAGCGTGTGTCATCTTACTCAGCGAACGAATCAACCTCAAACATCACATCCAAATCCAAGTAAGTTGGGAAAGACAAGGGAATTATTTTAATGCAAGAGTTTGGGTTCACCAAAGTTATGTTCAGGTATTGACAAAATTAATAAATATTTGGACAACAGACGAGTCAAATGACACATTGACAGCCCTGAACCAGACTAGCAGGCAGACTTTTAGAGCAATACAACCAAATGCCACCTTGACAGCCCTGAACCGGACTAGCAGGCAGACTTTTAGAGCAATACAACCAAATGCCACCTTGACAGCCCTGAACCGGACTAGCAGGCAGACTTTTAGAGCAATACAACCAAATGCCACCTTGACAGCCCTGAACCGGACTAGCAGGCAGACTTTTAGAGCAATACAACCAAATGCCACCTTGACAGCCCTGAACCGGACTAGCAGGCAGACTTTTAGAGCAATACAACCAAATGCCACCTTGACAGCCCTGAACCGGACTAGCAGGCAGACTTTTAGAGCAATACAACCAAATGCCACCTTGACAGCCCTGAACCGGACTAGCAGGCAGACTTTTAGAGCAATACAACCAAATGCCACCTTGACAGCCCTGAACCGGACTAGCAGGCAGACTTTTAGAGCAATACAACCAAATGCCACCTTGACAGCCCTG